AAAAAAAAAAACTGAAAGGCCGTTACTTGAATTAAAAAAAAAAAAACTGATAATGACAGTTAAAAATCGAACAATAACAATTGAGAAACAAAAAATAACTCAAATCAAATCAGATAATTAAAAAAAATTAAAAATTAAAAATGATGAAATTTAACTAAAAAATTAATTGATTCAAGTGAGAATCAACGAGAAAAAATAATAAAAGAACATTAAAATGATGAAGAAGACGAAAACAAATAACTGAAAACACACCTCTTCAATGTGAGACATTCACGTTTGTAATTTTTTTTGGAATTGAAAAAATAGAGTTAGTTTTTTTTTCCCCTGGTAAAGAAGAAGACAAGACGTTTTTTTTTTTTTTAGTTTTAAAGTTTTTTTTGTGTTGTTTGATTTTTGTAATTTATTATTTTTTGTTTTGTTATCTTATTTCAATTTCATATATTTGAAAAATCAGTGTTAACATGGGGCAAAGTTCTTTTTTTATGATTTGCAGGATCATTAACAGTAATCTCATTTAGGTTCATTACCACGGGCAAAAAAATCAATGAAGTAACAATAAAACAACAACATAAAAATTATCAAGAAACATAAAAACAACTCTCAATTACCAAAAAAAAAAAAAAAAATTATAAAATTGTCAAAGAAACATAAAAACAAGTTTCAACCTAATCAAACACCACCTAAACAATCTCAACTTGTAAATTTCAGGAACATTAAACAACCATCGGCACCTTCCTCAGCGCTTGATCAACAATTTTCATACTCAGTTGAACAGGCCGATTTCTCCAAACCCGCACACCTAGTACTGTCGCCGCGCACGCGGCCTCATATATTTCTTCTTGCCTTCTTTCTGCACACGAGAAACCCTATATATCTTTCTCAATTTTTTAGGTTTCTTAATTCTCCTAACAGATGAATCATCTTCTCCATCAGAAACGAAATCGTCCGAATCAGAAGAAACTACGCTAGAACCCGAATCAGACACATAATCAGACGAAGTAATTTCTTTAACTTTCTTCCTTTTTCCTTGCATTTTGTTTGTCGGAGAACCAGAAAAACGAGGACGGCTCTTGACAACAATTTTCCTTTTCTTAGAGTCAACAACAATATTCGAACATTTTTTCTCTGCTGATCTGGTTAAAACCATAGAAAATCAAAGAAAGAAATCGCAAAAAAAAAAAAAAAAAAA